AGATGCCTTTCCTCTCTTGTATCAAATTTCTGTAAATCAGGACTCCTCGGTGGCTGAGAATTTCAATGTGGATGGTAACTCTTTCAGTTGGAACCTAACTTGTARRAGGCGCCYCTTTGACTGGGAAATTGAGGAGTATGCAATTCTGTTGGGCCTGCTCCAGAACCAAACGATTGACCCAAACATGGAGGATGCTTGGAGATGTAAATGGAAAGCTGATGGCATGTTTTCTGTTAAGTCTATGTTCAGTAAGTTGATAAGTTCAGGTCAGGAAAACTTTCCGGCTAGGCAGATTTAGAGCTCATTCATCCTTCTAAAGTGAAGTTTTTGCTCTGGACAATGGCTTTAAATAAATGTCTATCGAAAGTTAATCTAGTGAAATGTGGCATTCAGATTTCGGATGTCATGTGGCTTATGTGGTGTAGTAGTAGAAACTACTGAACATCTGGCCTTACATTGCCCAGTCTCGAATTATATTTGGAAGCATTTTCTCCAAGCTTTGAAAATCAGCTGGGTAATGCCAATTTCTGTGAAGGATCTTCTGTTGTGTTGGCAGATTGAGGGTCTCAGCAAGAAAGGTATCTTGGTTTGGAAGACTATCCCGGCTGCTGTGCTTTGGACTATCTGGATTGAAAGAAATAACAGAATTTTTCAGGGAAGAGCTAAATCTTCAGAGGAAATGGTGCARAWRGCTGTGGGTAAACTTCTGTCCTGGGTGTCGGCATCGGAGTTGTTTAAAATTCAGAATTTGAGTCTGTTGTTTAGATCTCAGAACTGGTTGTATCTGTAATTTGTGGTGGCTCTAGGCAGCCTCTAATGGCCTAGGCTCCTTTGTAGTGGTTCTTATTTTAATAAATTACCTTACCTTTTCAGAAAATAAAAAATGTTTAAAAGTGTGGTGTGAGGCACAAGGACCTTTAGATGCACAAGGCAAAAGCCATGAGGCATGAGACATAAGACTCATGAGTACCATTATCTTAAGAAAAACATACAGACATGTACAAGAGGAGTCTTTATATAGGAAGAGCGTATAACTGAAAGTGAACCCATTCTTATAAACCCTTTAATAACTACAAAAAGCTCTAATAATACCTCATACAGTTTTAAATGTGGTGAAGCATAGACACAAAAATATACACACACATAAGGGATCTCATGGTGTAAAGAATGTGAATTGTACGCTGAGGGTCTTTCTAGTGAGGGGAGGACCATATGATTCATGATTCCCACTGCTGCTTTCTGAACCATCTGGATGGAGAGGAACTGTAGAATCTTTGGAAATAGATCCTATCAAACTGATAAAATGATCTGAAATATAACCAAAAAATCTTTTCTAAGACTAAAACTTCTAATCTGTCTACAGAGGCTTATCTTTTTGTAATTAGCATACTTTACAATTTTTGTGAATGCCCATATTGTATAGTGTCACACTGCAAAGGTTTCACACCCATTTTCATCATTAAATATAATTATACATTGCGTTTTCTTGAAAAAAAGGAATGTGAATTGCACTTTCATGTGTGAGCTTTGAGGCCTTGGGTTACAAGTGTCATATGCCTCTTAAAACACTATTTTCCAACTGAGGGAAAGACAGAAAAAATTACAATCATAACTAAAGCATATTATAACTCAGTAATGATATTACAATTGGTTAATGTGCAAGTACAAAGGTTTTGGATCATGCGCAACAAATTGAACAGAGAAATGCAGTGACCTTCTTCCCTAGTGATACTGATAACCACTTGTCAAGTTCACCATGCTTTCCAGATAGGAAGATCCGTTTGTAGAAGTAAGCAAGAAATCTTGGAAACCTTTGGGCTAGAAAGTACATCATTTTCCTTCTAGGTGTCCACTTCTCCCAAGTTCTTTTTCTCTCTTCCTTACTCATTTTTGAATCATAAGGATTAACCATTGGAGCAAACATGGCTGCACCTGCAAAAGTGTATACAAAGCCTTATGTTTCCCAAGAATCATGTATCTTGAGTTAATGACAGAAAAGGCAAAAACTTGTCAATGTTGATCAGTCATTTTTTTAATTAGTAACAGAACAGCCATGTTTTTACCCCACAGACATCATTGAATTTCACTTAGGATTTTTTGTAAAGGAGGGTCTTCTGCCCCTGTTGTCATACATATTAATACAAGTTACATCATTTATCAATAAAAAAACTAAGTGAAAACTAAAACATGTAATGTAATATCACCCATTATTTTAGGCATGTAACTGCGCCCATGCAATTGGATGCTTCAGCACCTTGAAGAACAGAAAATTTCACAACTTACATAATGAGAGAACAATAACATTAACAAGATAACTCTTCCTGTTGACCTAAGACCAGTGTATAGTTCCATAGATTTTCTAGCATGATGGCTCAATACGTGAAATGGAAATGACTTTTTGATTGGTTGTTGTTGTGAATCTTATTTATTGGTTCTGTGTTAGTATGCTGTTAGTATGTTGTTTGGTTCTGTGCTAGAATGCTGTTAGTATGTTGTCAGCCTAATCTATCTAGGTGCTGACAGCTAGCTTCTTTTTTCTCTTGTTAGTTGTTTGTTATTAGGAACTGCCAGGGGCATTCTTGTAACTTCAGTTCTTATTACATTAAGTGAATATAAATAAGAAGCTGGGAACGACCAGCCTAGAGTTTTTGAGTCTCAATCGACTCTCTCTTCTCTTCTCCTCTACGTTCTCTTCTCCTCTTTCTTCTCTTCTCTCTCTCATCTCTCTCAGGAAGGAACACATGGTATTAGAGCAATAATTCTGGGCTCGAAAATTGTTTTTTCTCATCTGAATCTCAGTTTTTTTTTTTTGTTCTCTTGATCTCTTAGACGTGGAAGACCAAGAATTCTATCGGACTGTTCAGAGTTCCTGCGGCTGTTGTTTTTTGGGTTCCTCCTTGGTCGTAACATCAAGGAAACCCTAACAGAAGGAGGGCGATGCTGGAATGACTCTCCTCTCTTAGTTCGATGCAGTGAAAAATATTTTTCTGGGTTTGCACCTTCTTACAGGTGCTGGACAGGGGTATGTGTCCCCTTTTTTTCTCTGTGGTCTATGCTGTGAAGGGCTTGAGAAGGCCTTGGTTTTGAGGTTTACACCTTCGTACAGGCGCTCGACAGGGGTATGTTTTTTTTTCTCATGTGCTGTGGTCAAACTGTTAGTAGTTTCTTTTTTTTTTTAATGACTGCTTATGGCCGAACTCTTGCTATTAGTAGACTGTCTTCAGTAGCCTGTTAGTAGACTAGTTGCTGGACTTATTTCTGGGCTATTCTAAGGACCGAACTATTGCTGAACTGATTTCAGCAGTATCTTTCTCCTTCCGGAAGTGAAAATTCTTGGGAGTTTAGCATTCTGTTTGTGTGGAATCTGCTCTGGTATATTTGTGTCCCTTTTTTTTCCAATGGCAAACTATGATTCAGCATCATCTGGAGTTACACCAACTCGTAGTACAGCTGGTATGGGGGGTGAAAACATGATATTTCCCATGCCAATTACCCCTTTAAATGGCCTGAACTACCTGGAGTGGGCTACAAGTGTGAAACTTTATGTAACAGCAAGGGGAAAAGCTGGTTACATAAATGGCAGAGTGAAAGAACCCAAGTGTGAAACAGCTGAACATGATAGGTGGGACCAAGAAAACAGTATGGTGATGTCTTGGCTCCTTGCAGCCATGGAACCCGATGTGAAGAAGAACTTTATATGAGCAAACACCGCGAGTGAGATTTGGGAACAGGCCTAAACCACCTATTCTGAGCAAAGGCATTATGCCAAGATTTACCAGCTGCAAGCTGAATCCTCAACCTGTAAACAGGGAAATCGTAGTTTGTCTACCTATTATTCAGCCCTTACTTCCGTATTGAAAGAATTGAACCATTATCAGGCTATAGAGTGGAAACATGATGATGATGCTAAGGCCTACAGGAAGTTAGTTTCTTAGCAATGTGTGTTTGCCTTCTTGTTGGGACTGAACCCTGCCTATGAACCCTTGAGAGTTCAGATCTTAGGAAGCAAAGAGTTGTCGTCGGTTCAAGAGGTATATGCCCTTGTTCAATCTGAAGAAAGTAGGCGGAGTGTGATGGTTACAACTGAGGGGGAGCAACAGGTAGCATTGGTTGCAATGAGTAATAACAATATGGGGAAGAAAAGTGACTCCAAGAAGGCTGATGATAAAGGCAAGTTGTTATGTACCCACTGTCAGCGCTCGTGACATACACGTGACACATGTTGGGAAATTCACGGGAAGCCCAAGTGGGCAGTGAAAAACCAAGAATAGGGTAAAGTGCAAGGTCAGAAGAAGATGAATACAACACTAATGCAGCACACGTGGCAACCCAAGATACTCAGGTTGCTGGTACTACCCGGGACCACTTTACTAATTCTGACCCCAAGGAAGATATCATGAATTCCTTCAAAGATAACTTAGAGTCATATAGTAGGGCTTTGCGACAGATGGATAGTTCAGTCACTGGTACTCCTACTTCATTTGCATCTACATCAGGTAATGCGGCTTCTGCATTCCATGTCACTACTACCATTGATTCCCCTTGGATCATTGACTCAGGGGCCTCTAACCACATGGCCAGTAAGACAAATTTGTTTCAGACTTGTAGCCTTTTGTCGGGAAGGGATAAAGTGAGGCTTGTAGATGGATTATTCTCCTCCATTGTAGGCCAAGGATCAATATCCCTTTCCCATGGCCTTAACCTAAAAAGTGTGTTGCATGTTCCCCAACTTCCTATAAATTTGCTTTCAATCAGTAGCATCACAAACTCTTTAAACTGTAGTGTAACCTTTTTTCCTGGTTCATGTGTTTTTCAGGATCTAACTTCTGGGAGGACGATTGGTAGAGGAAGCCTAATGAATGGTCTCTATATTCTCGACAACAAAGCTAGTCTCTTGGTGTCGTCCTCGGAGTCATGTAGTCAGTCAAATAAGAGTCAAATTTTTTTTGTGGCATAGTCGATTAGGTCATGTTTCCTTTGAAATAGTGAAGTCTTTGTTTCCGTTTTTATTTAAGTCATGTTTAGTGTCAGATTTTCAGTGTCAAACATGTCAGTTGAGCAAACAATGTAGAACAACTTTTCATTCAAGTAATAAAAGATCCAATTTTCCTTTTCATATTGTGTATTCTGATGTATGGGGGCCTACCAGTATAACCTCTGAGGGCGGGTATAAGTACTTTATCACTTTGATCGATGATTTCTCCCGATATACATGGGTATTCCCGATGCGTAGCAGAGATGAAGTTCCAAAGATTATGAAAGACTTCCAGAGGATGGTGTTTACGCAGTTCCATGTCGAAATACAGATCTTCCAATCAAATAATGCTAAGGAATATTTCCATGGTGAGCTGAATGAGTTCTTTGCCTCCCATGGATCTATTCATAGGATCTCATGCGCAAGAACACCGCAACAAAATGGTGTTGCCGAAAGAAAAAACAGACACCTTCTTGAGGTAGCTCGAGGAATGATGTTACACACGAATGTTCCAAAGAGGTTTTGGATGAATGCTATACTTGTAGCTACTTATGTCATCAATCGCATGCCCTCCAGAGTGCTGAACTACATGGCCCCTCATCAGCTGTTGTTCCCTCAGTCCCCTTTATTTTCCATTCCCATGAGAGTCTTTGGTTGTCGTGCCTTTGTCCATGATTTGTCTCCGTCTCGAGGTAAGTTAGACCCTCGGTCCATTCCTTGTATCTTTCTGGGGTATCCCTCCTCTCAAAAGGGGTATCGGTGCTTTGATCCCGTTAGTCATAAATTCTTTGTCTCTATGGATGTGTCCTTCTTTGAGTCTGAATCGTTCTTCCCTGCTTCTCCCCAGGGAGAGAGTAGTGTAGAAGAGGAGAAGCAGGTTCAGGTCCGCCAAGTCTCTTTTCCTTCTATTCCGGACCTAGCCCCCTTTTGTGTCTTCCAACGTACACGCCGTAGAGATCAGCAATGTGACAGAGATGTGGAGCTACCAACCACTGAGCATCTGACACTGTCAGACTCCCATGAGGTAAATCAAAACCCTACTACACCTATTGACACCCCTGCTCCTATTGTGGATGACCTTGACATTCCTATTGCTCAAAGAAAGGGAGTCAGGTCATGCACTACCGAACATCCCATCACCCAGTATGTCTCCTATGATCACATTTCCCCCTCATACCGAGCCTTCCTATCTGTAGTTGATTGCATCCCTGTACCCAAAAATGTTGCAGAAGCCTTAACATACCCTGAATGGACAGATGCTATGAAGGAGGAGATTAATGCCCTCCATAAAAATCAAACTTGGGAATTGGTAGATCTTCTAAGGGGGAAACACCCAGTGAGGTGTAAGTGGGTGTTTACAGTTAAACGCAAGGCAGATGGGACAATTGAAATATATAAAGCAAGATTGGTAGCCAAGGGGTACACTCAAGTGTACGGAATTGACTATGATGAGACATTTGCTCCAGTAGCTAAGATGAACTCAATTCGAGTTCTTCTATCATTAGCTGCTAATCTTGACTGGGAATTGCATCAACTAGACATCAAGAATGCCTTTTTAAATGGTGACCTAGAGGAGGAGGTATACATGGTTCAACCCCCGGGATTCTGTGCCAAGGATGAAAAGAAGGTGTGTAAGCTAAGAAAGTCTCTCTATGGATTGAAACAATCTCCCAGGGCTTGGTTCAGTAAGTTTCAACCCCCGGGATTCTATGCCAAGGGAAGTGAAAAGAAGGTGTGTAAGCTAAGAAAGTCTCTCTATTAAAACAATCTCCCAGGGCTTGGTTCAGTAAGTTTCAACCCCCGGGATTCTWTGCCAAGGGAAGTGAAAAGAAGGTGTGTAAGCTAAGAAAGTCTCTCTATGGATTGAAACAATCTCCCAGGGCTTGGTTCAGTAAGTTTCATATGGCGGTTCAGCAAGTAGGGTTCAAGCAATGTCAGTTTGATCACACACTCTTTTTGAAGAGATGTCAGGAACAGGTTATTGTTTTGATAGTGTATGTGGATGATATCATCATTACAAGAAATTGGAGTTCAAAAATACAACAATTGAAACAATTCCTTGCGTCTAAATTTGAAGTGAAAGATCTAGGCCCTCTAAAGTATTTTCTTGGAATTGAAGTTGCCCGTTCAAAAAATGGTATCTTCATTTCTCAAATGAAGCACACTCTTGATCTGTTACAAGACACAAGCAAGTTCGGTGCAAGGCCAGCAAATACTCCTATGGATGTTGATCATAAATTGGGTAACTGTGATGGTGAACCTTTGATAGATGTAAAACAGTTCCAAAGGTTAGTGGGGAAGTTGATTTATTTGTCCATGACTCGTCCAGACATTGCTTATTCAGTTGGGGTCCTGAGCCAATTCATGCACTCTCCTAAGAAACCTCACTTGGAGGCAGCAGAGAGAGTTCTTAGATACTTAAAAAGTATCCAAGAACAGGTCTACTATTCAGTAAGCATAATCATCTAAAGGTGGAAGTCTTTACAGATGCTGATTGGGCAGGTGCGGTGGATGACAGAAGTCCACAAGTGGGTATTGCACATTTGTGGGAGGAAACCTAGTGATCTGGAAAAGCAAGAAACAAAATGTGGTAGCAAGGTCAAGTGCTAAAGCGGAGTATAGGGCTATGGCACATGGGGTGGCTGAAGTTCTTTGGCTTAAAAATCTTCTAGAGGAGCTTGGAGTTGCTGTTCACAATCCTATGTCTCTTTATTGTGACAACAAGGCAGCCATTAACATCACCAACAATCCTGTCCTACATGAGAGGACCAAGCACATTGAAGTCGACAAATACTTCTTCATAAGGGAAAAATTGGAAAGAAAGGAAATATGCATCCCTTATGTCAACTCCAAGGAACAACTTGCTAATGTCCTCACAAAAGGACTTCCATACTCGCGACACAATGAGTTGTGTGACAAGTTGGGCATGATAGACATATACAGCCCAACTTGAGGGGGAGTGTTGTGAATCTTATTTATTGGTTCTGTGTTAGTATGTTGTTAGTCTGTTGTTTGGTTCTGTGTTAGTATGCTGTTGGTATGTTGTCAGCCTAGTCTATCTAGGTGCTGACAGCTAGCTTCTTTTTTTTCTTGTTAGTTGTTTGTTATTAGGAACTGCCAGGGGCATTCGTGTAACTTCAGTTCTTATTACATTAAGTGAATATAAATAAGAAGCTGGGAACGACCAGCCTAGAGTTTTTAAGTCTCAATCGAATCTCTCTTCTCTTCTCCTCTACGTTCTCTTCTCTCTCTCATCTCTCTCAGGAAGGAACACAGTTGTGAAATGAAAATAATCAACATTAGGAAAGATTGGTAACATCTTTCCATTGGGTTTGACAATCGGTAAATGGCTAGCTGATGAGCTAGCCAAACTAGGTGCACAAAGGAAAGAGATCATTAGGTGGAAAGTGTATAAAAGCATAAGGCTATGCATTAGGCAGCAGAGGTTGGCAGATGTACTTACTTTTGTATATCATTCTTTCTCACAATTGATACAACTTTTTAACAGTTATCGATAGGGAAAAAATACTCTATTTTCAGGAAGATAGTACTCAGCAGGATTGCATTTTGCTGGGGAGAAAAACTTTTAGGAAGACAGCTCCAGTAATCTAATCTTTTACAATAAGCTCAAATATCAAATTTCATTACTGAACGAAAATATTTGTTGTTAAGCACATATTACACAAACAAGCCCAGTATTTGCTTGAATAAACATTCAAGATTCCAAAAGAAACCATTCTTTTTGTCCTTTTCTTGGTATTTGCAGGCATCATGAAACATAAACTCTAAAATTTTAGGCAAAACTAAAAGGTCATGACTAAAATAAGTTCATTTACAATGATTCTTCCACAATAAAATCCTTTAGGCTCTTTTTGTCTGAAGTGCAAATTCCATTTGTACTGGTGTAAATGCAAGGGAGTTCAACTGGCATGAGTACAAATTCTGGATACTTTACTTCCGGTCTGACTTTGTTTTGTTTGTTTTCAAGGAATGAGGAGTAAAATGATGTGCCCCCCACTTTATATAGGAGAGAATGAAAGCAGAAGGAAGGTTGTTTATTTGGGAAGAGCAGAATAGGAAGTAAAATGATGTAATGCCCACTTTATATGAGAAAAAAGTAGGGTAGGAGGAAGGTGGTGCAAATTTCATCAATTTTTGGGATACAAAATTTGCACTGTATTTTGCATCAGGTACAAATGATGCAAATCTGAGACAAAATAGCGCCTTATAGAGAAACATTTGATTTCTGAAAGGCCTTATCCCTGAAAAGTATTTTTGTTAGATCAAGCTAGACTGATCCTTAGGCACTATTGCAGACTAATAAGGAAAACACAAAAGGCCATTAGCCAATGATGGTCCCAACTATCTGAGGTCTTGGGAGGGGTGGACTGAGACAGTTACACACCTAACCTTGGGTATTTTTTATTACAAAGTGGTTGCTCTCAGACTCAAACTGACATTATCACACTTGTCAGCCTGAGGCTTTACCATTGCACCAGGCAATTATTTCTTGATGAGAGGCATGCAAACCAATAATTGCAATTCACAAGAGAAGTTCAAAACCTGCAATTCTATCAGGAATATGTCTCAGCGCAGCCCAAGCATGAATGCTTCCAGTTGAGTAACCCACCACCCAGAACTTGTCACTTACACCAATAGCATTTGCTACAGATAACATATCCCAGGCAGATGTGTTAAGATTCCTGTTAGAATGGGGATCACTCTCCCCAAAGCCAGGAAGGTCATATGTGACCATGTGAACACCAAACTCCTCCAACAGTGATTCTTTAATTCCAGGTATCCCTGTTCACAGACCGAAGGTGACAGAAAACTTCATCAGGACAAAAAAAAAAATAAGCTGATTTAGGCAACTTTGCAGGTTGTGATAATATCATAGTTCACTAATTGAATAGTTGATTCACCTCCAAGTCGGGAAGAAAGAAAGTAATGTGGAGCAATCATGGAAACTCTAGCCCTATCAGTGGGAACACCTTGCTCATAAAATGCCATGTATCTCCCATCTGGAAGTTGAAAGCGGCTAGCGCTAGGAGGATGTACATACACTTTCTTTGTCTGTGGAACTGTACTATCACGCCCAGTATTTATGCTCAATACTGCAGATGTTGACTTTTGTCAGAAATTGATACTCAGCAAGAAAAGAATGCAGAGCAGTGATAATGACACTGATGGAAAGTGTCAGTGTTAGTTCTTAATTAAGCAGACTAACAAATTTCTTTATTTCAACAAGGATTCACAGATGCAAACTTGTGCATGTGATCAAAAAGAATTTTATATTATTTATCTTCTTTTCATTTCTGAGACTGAGATAGAATAATCCATTACCTAAAGTGAAAGAGGGGAGATACAGTAAAGAGTTCATAATTACAATGGCAATTTTACACCATTACACAAGACAAACATGGTCCTGCACTAGAAAAAGGTTATCTACATCAACCCAACTTTCAGCACACTGGTATGCTCATCTTCAAACTCCACCATGACCAAAATGAGGTTTTCTTTTTTTTCTTTTTCTCAAAGCACTTTTAGGGGCTAGAAGAATAGATGCTTTCTCTGATTTGTTGGAAAAACATATACTAATTGGTCTCCAGTTTCAATTGCAACAAGTGCTAGTATATAAACCCTCATCTAGGATATCACTTACTAGGTACAGGAAACACCACCGATGACCGACCTGTTTTGATACATTGGCAACAAAAGTCTTTTCTCCTCCCTGGAAGTTTCTATATACTCCTTGATACTGAAATGTGGCAAAACCACAAAAGTGTTTTGTCAGATTGATTAGATGTGACAGTAATTAGCCTAAGTGCTTGATAGAACCAAGTATTCATTAAGTGGATGCTTTCTAATTCAGACAGCCATTGGACCCTCTGGAATATTATTAGATAGGCTAGAGCATTGGCAATTAGGATGACCAGCTTGTTCAGGTGGATACCTAGGTCCACGACGACCTTGCAGGTTCCCTGTCTATAATGAGGGTTTAGTAATTAGCTTCCTTAGCACTTTCTATTTGATTGTGCTCTTTATAATGTCATCGTCTATTGGTTGTATATTTATGTCATCTGATTTGCCTCTTTCACCTGAAAGCTTCTATATGCTCCTAGATACTGAAATGTGGCAAAACCGCAAAAGTATTTTGTCAGATTGATGATAGATGTGACAGTAATTAGCTTAAATGCTTGATAGAACCAAGTAGTCATTAAGTGGATGCTTTCTAATTCAGACAGCCACTGGACCCTCTGGGATTTTATTAGATGGGCTAGAAGCTAGAGCATTGGCAATTAAGATGACCAGCTTGTTCAGGTGGATCCCTAGGTCCATCACAACCTTGCAGATTCCCTGTCTATAATGAGAGTTTAGTGATTAGCTTCCTTAGCACTTTCTATTTGATTGTTCTCTTTATAATGCCATTGTCTGTTGGTTGTATATTTATATGCCATCTGATTTGTTTCTTTCACCTGATACCTTGAATAAGGGATGTTTTTTCCTCATTCTACACCAAATAAAGCTCTTCTAATCGTTATTGCTGATCAAAAAGAAAAAAAAAAGAAATAGTATTAATTATCTCAATTTACCAACTTTGATGTTTTCTACAAGAAAAATGACCAAAGACAGCCTCGTGGTATTGCTCTATGAACATAGTGTTTTATGCTCAGTTTGGGAAGAGTACAAATACAAATATGTACTATGCCAATACATACAAAATAATACAAGACACAATGTTTTGCACTCTACGTATTTGTATTTGTACTCCTTCCAAACTGATCCTTAAGTACTCGCATAATTATAAACTGCCCTGGGTATGAATGCTGCTGAATAGAGCATTAAATTACATAGTAGATTCAAATCTAATAAATCAACTGTTGCCAAAGATACTGCAATTCGTCAACTGCAACAATGTAACAGTATTTTCATAAGCATATCCTGCTTTCCAACATGATTTGGAATGTGTAACGGAACTTCTGCACCTATATAATGTAACAATTATACAAAGAAAGCCTAAACTACCTGCAAGTGCAAGGATAAAAACGAAAAACACAACCGGCCACGCATGAGCTGGATCCCGGTCCTCCGGCAATAATTCGTTCATGAATCTTAATCTATTCGAAACCTTTGCCCAGGGACCTGCCACCCTTTCCGCAATAAATGAAGCCTCGTTCCCAAGAGTCTGTTGCACTATATCCCTGCAACCCCTGGCCAACTCATGGAGCATTTCAGCAACAGCCTTCAAAAATCCTTTAACTTGGTCCTTAAAGCTCTCTACTTCAGCCGCATCGCCTCCAAGCCCCTCACTACTGGTAAAGTCTGTCCTCTTTTTTTCCCCGGCCGTCGGAGCGGTTCCAATTCCGTCGTCGGTATATCTTATCCCTGTGTCCTCAACAAGGCTCGCGAGCTCCTCTGACCATGACTTCGAAGCCGTAACCTCTGACATTCCTTAAGTAAACACCTTACTGCAGACTCACAACATCAAATTCTCAGAATCTGCTTCCATGGATCTAACACAAGCGAAATAGAGATACAAACTCAAGTGTTGTAGCTCATTGTAATGGACAAGTCGAACATCGGCAACCGCAGTACTTCCGAACCTATATAAAGCAAAACTGAAATCGCGTGATCCGAAAATATTTTGTTTAATTGCAGAAACCCTAGCCGGCCAGTAATCAACGGACGAGATCCCTCCAAGTGAATCGATAGAAAATGGCCAAAAGAAAAAAGTATTCAGTATCAACGCTCTTTTTCTTTTCGACCGAGATGTGGATGCTGAAATCGTTGCTGCAGGCCTATATGTATCGGATACCAACACAAACAAGCATTTTAACGGTCTTCGACATTAATGGTTGTTTCGAGCTCTTTGTTTTGTTGTATACTTTATGCTCTTAACGAAGCTCGCAAGTCGCAAGTCGCAAGGGAGAGGGGATTTTGAAATAGTGGTCTCAAGCAGTATTTGCTGGTGATTCCGATTTGCTGGAAATCGATGTGGACGCCGAAGATTCTTCCACGTTGACAAACTGCTCTTTCGTGCAATTAATTTTCCCGGCAAATAAAAATACTCTCTGCCGGCTATCGTTCAAAGATTGTCGTGAAGTGTTCGCAACGTTTTGCCACGTTTAAGTGTTTTGTTAAAGTGTTTTCGTGCCGCCCGCCGTGCCCGGTCACTACAACCGGGACGTGTCGGGTTTGGGTTTTGAGGCCTGCGGGCCGGCATGGCACGGCCCTTATAGCGGCTTGGCAAGAATATAAATTTTAATTTCCACTTTTGTTGTATTTTTTTTTAATTTGTTTTATTATTTCATATAATATAAAACAATTGTATGCATCAAAATTCATATAAAATTTCAAATTTTTTAATTTCTTATCTATATTGTTTAAGTCGGTATGTTAAATGTGTGTCTCCAGCATATACACCGATTTGATTCCCGCAACCACTGACTTTGGGGAGATGGGGATTATTACTATTGCATTTCATGGTTTTCAAAATTGGACCGGACTGGACGGTCAGACAGGAAAAACCAGGAACCGGTTATCTAATAGGTTTCGTTTTCTCCAAAATCGTTGATTTTGGTCAGCAAACCGCTGAACCGGCTTAACCGTTCAAACGGTTTTGACCGTTTTTAAATTTTTTTTGTTAGAATGGGTCGATCGTTCTAACCAAACGGTCGAACCATTCAAACTAGTAGCCGAACCCCTAACCGGTTTAGTCACCAGTTCGATTTTAAAAATCATAGTGCATTTCACCAAATATCTAAAAAAAATATTTTAACTTTTTATTATTTATTTTAATTTTCTAAAAAAAACCGTGACACACATGGAACCTTATATAAGTTTCTCCACCTTTCCCTTCTTTTCCCTACCTTTTCCTTCAAACCAAACATATAAGGGGTTTTGGGCCAAGTAGGTATGGCACGCCACACACCCAAGACCACATGTCAGCCCAAGATAGCCCACATTACACCTATGGTTATAGTGCACAACTCCTTGAGCTTGAGTTTGAATTTCCTACATACATAACACTCCATCTGCATTAGGGCGCAATCGAACCAATTTAGTGGTGGATCCAAGACCTTTGATCAATGGGGGCAGGGATTATCATAATATTAATTTAGTCATAATACGACGGGTTTGAAGCATGGACCATATTACCCATCTATGATCCCAATATCCATAAATAACCTATATCCTAATCCTTTATGGAGTCCGAGGCTGCAGATCTCGGCACACCATGGTCAAGCACCACAATGGCCTCAACTCCGTAGCTCGGCACCTCTAAGGTCCCCGCCTACTACAGTGGCCTCAACACCGAAGTTCAGCCTCCCACCGGCATTAAAAAGCCCTTCCTTGACACTCGGCCAAGCTAAGCCCCCGACTCTGGAGTTTGGCACACCATGGTCGAGCACCACAGTGGCCTCAACACCGAAGCACGACCTTCCACCGGCATTAGAAAGCCCTTCCTTGATACTCGATTGAGTTAAGCCCCCGATTCCGGAGCTCAGCACACCATGGCTGAGCATCACAGTGGCCTCAACACCAAAGCTCAGCCTCCCACCAACATCAGAAAGCCCTTCCTCGGCCCCGACCGAGATAAGCCCCCAACTTCGGAGCTCGACACACCATGGCTGAGCATCACAGTGGCCTCAACCTCCACCGGCATCAAAAAGCCCTTCCTTGACACCCGGCCAAGCTAAGCCCCGAACTTCGGAGCTCGGCACACTGATGCTCGGCCTCCACTAGGAATCAGAAAGCCCTTCCTCGACACCCGGCCGAGCTAAGTGACCACGTAGCATTTCAGCCAAGGAACAAAGAGCCCTTCCTCAGCTCCACCAGGAAGATGGACCTCGAAGCTCATCTCAACACTTCGGCGCACTGTCGAGCTACACGACTGCGCAACACTTCAGCCAAGCACTCCCCCTCCTTGGCTTCAGAACTGGGGGAGTGGTGTTCGGATTCTGAAGTTAGAATTCTTGGAGTTCTACAGTCGACGATTGAAGGACTCCCCAGCCACAACCCACATTGCGCGGACCTCACATTCTGGCAAACACCGAGGAACATCAAATGGACTAGACACTCAACCATACCAACTAACTAGACTTTGACTTGGAGCTCATCAGCCGAGGAACAAGGCATCCTACCGCGCTACACCTCGGCCGAACACCTCATGCCTCAACTTCAAAACTGGGAGAGTGGTGTTTGGGTCATGGTTAAGCTGGTCTAGAGAGACACGTGGCCACCCAGTCATCGCTCGGTCAGCCCAGCCACATTGGCATAGCTCGGCCAGCTCCACAGCACGCACTCATTTTGCGGCCTAGGCCGAGCTACGCTATTACTGTGGCCCCCCATCTTATCCCCTCAGCCACGTCAGCTACCCATGGCGCGGATAAGCATAACTACGAATAAAGATGAGTAAGGAAGATAACTCCGCCAGGGATTAGGACTATATCCCAAATACATCGGTGGCTTGCCTCATCCTGACAACCCCGGGAGCCCAATCTGACCAGGACATGGGTCCGTGGCTATAAGAAGGTATTTCATGCTCAAAGTAAGGGATCCGACTTCTAACACCCATACTGCTACTTAGCTCAGACCAGCACCCCTATAGCTTGGCCCGACCGTCTACCACCTCCTACTGACTTGAGCGTCAGAGTACTTACTCGGGGATAACTCCTCGGGCCTCTGACTTCTCCTTTCTTGATCACAAGTCTTGAAGCGCGGCCTCGTCCTTGCAGCTTAGCACCGCCCTGTTGGCAAGGACTATCTGATGGCTCTCCTCAATTTGTGCACCACCTTTGATTGAGCATCACACACACACACATATATATAGGGGTTTTTACTATTCAGTCCACCCCCAAAATTTCTAGCTCCACTGTACAGGTGGGGTAGGTGCCAACTCGGAATTGATGCCAATTAATGGGCGGGTATGTGTATAGGTGGAGTTGTTTATAATTTGAAATTGTTGTAGGTTTGCAGTTCAAATCATAATTATGAGGAGGAGTGCAGTCTAAAAATCCCTAATATATATTTATATAATCGGCACTAGGGGCATGTCGGGGACTTCACTCCCTATCTCCATCCTTTACTTGATTAGGTTAGGGTTCAAGGAGATTGGGTATCCAATAAGAAAGAGGAAAATTGCCATCTAGGTTTTGACAAGATAAAAAATTGGGAGATAAGATTGAACTGCTCGAGGGATGAGAAATGAGTCAAATGGTTCCCATAAAATGTGACAAGCCTAGAAATATAAAAGTAACTCTTCACTTTATTAATTTTATAATCCTCAATTGTAGAAATGGCAAATTGAGACAGTAAAGAAAAGGGGTTTTATTGTTCAATCCACCCCCAAAAATCATTGCTCCATCGTACAAGTGGGATGAATCCTCACTGTGGATCGATGTCAAATCTACGAGCAGGATGCGGTTTATAGGGGGCTATCATTTTAGATTTCTGAGGTGGAGTGCAGTCTAGTTATCTCTAAAGAAAATGACAAAATGAATAAAGGTCTTATCAAAGTACAGTTTAGTTCAATGTTTGGTTTATGGTCTCAATGTAAAAGTTGTTTCTTTTTTCATTTTTCATGAGATATAAGTTAATGTGAAGGTCTCTTATCAAAGTACAGTTAGAGGTATTGTTAAAGCAGAATCAGTGAGACAGTCGGTGGCTCATCGAATTAACAAAATAGTGGCCCACCAATCACAATCAGTTGGGGGTGAGCATTATTAGGTTAAAACTGAAAAATTGAACCAAAAATTTCGGTTTCGGTTTTTGGTTATTTCGATTTTGTAAAATTTCGGTTTTCATGTTTAGAAATTTGGTTAACCAAAAAAACAAATTAGCCGAACTTTATTATCTATAATATATATTAACATATAATAAATATATAATATGTATAAAATATATTATTATGTATTAAAATATATAATTTATTATATACATTGTATAATGCATTTTTTTTAATATATAATATACATTATATATTAAAATATACACTATAATATATAATAAAATATATATATAGTGTTGAAATTCGATTTTAACCGAAAACCGAACCGAAAATTTTGGATTCGGTTATTTTAGTTTTTCAATATTTCAGTTTTGGTTCTATTTTTTATTTAAATTTTTGGTTTATTCGATTTGGTTTTTAACCGAATAAACTGTTTGCTCACCCCTACAATTGGTGGCCTACTGGTCAAAGTCCACATTTTCTTATTACTTAGCGGTGAAGACTATTTTCACCGCTTAAGTATGTGGATGTAATTAAATCTTCATAATTCCCTTTATACCCCTCTCTACAAGTATAAATAGGGATCCCTCCTCCTTTATTTTTCATTCCTTATTCATTTCATTGTGTACATGTATACAGTGTGTTGAGAGGAGTATGGTGTTGGGTACGAGTAAGGTTCTCGTGAGGTCATTTTTAATATTGTATTTTCTCTTGTTTATAATGAAGAAGTAAAACTCCGAGCTGCTGCTCGTGGACGTAGGCAATTTGGCCAAACCACGTTAAATCCGGTGTTCTATCTCTCTTCTTTCTTTCTTTCGCTTTCTTGCTATCTGCATTTGTTTTTTTCTGTGCACATACAAATTATATTATCCGTTGTGCCATTCCAACAATTGGTATCAGAGCTTCATGATTTTGTTCTAGGGTTCTACCAAAATCTATATTTGATGCTCTAATATTGCATGTGTTAAATATGGCAAGCTCGAGATTTACCTGGTTTGATATACCAAAATTCAACAAATCCAATTATGCAATATGGAAGCTGAAGATGCATGTTGTATTGGTGAAAGAAGATTGTGCAACTGCCTTACAAGGAAAAGAGAATAAGCCTATTGATATGAAGAATGAAGATTTTGAGAAGAAAAATTAGATAGCCATGACTGATATTCTTATTGCTTTAGAAGATTAAGTTTTATTTAGTGTGTTTGAGGAAACTACTACCAAAGGTTTATGGAACAAGTTGTGGAATCTCTACGAGGGGAAATCGATGTCCAATAGAATCTTTCTCCGACGATAACTCTATAACCTAAGGATGAAGGACGAAGCCTCTATGCAAGAACACTTGAATGAGTTCAACACTCTAGTAAGCAAATT